AGCATTCAAAACGCACTAACGACATTGCATCCTGTGTATCCATCATCGAGGTAGCACCTGCACACTGCTATATTTTTAAAAGTATAGGATCAAATTTTTGCCCCGGAGAGCATTTAATCAATCTCAAACGAGGTATTTATGCTAATGATAGAGCTATTTACTCCTGTCTTAATAGTCTGTTAGGCCAACACAGTAAAACTGGCTACTACACTCAAAAATATCATCTAATCAGTTGTTAACTGGGGCAAGGAATGCCTTGTAAATTTTGTCGAAATGAAACTTTTATCATTTAATCGCCTTTTTGCCTACCATAGCACGGCTGATGCTAACCTCCAGGCGATCATCTCTTTGTACCTATTTGGTATCACGTGTTCTACTGAAATGAAGTGGAGGGATTATATTAAAAAAAATGCTAGGTCTGCTTCTGGAAGGGTTGGTTCCCTATGTCGTACAAGGCAAATTTCTTTCGCCAGAATTCGTTATAAAGTTTTATAAATCTACAGAGAGTTAGTCCATTGAATACTGTTGACATATCTGGTCTGGTGCTTCTGTTATAAAGAAACAAAAAAAGATCTGCAATGTTATTGGTTCTGACATGGCATCTCGACTTCAATCACTTTCCCACTCTGACGTGGCTTCCCTCTGTCTTTTCTCTAAATAGGTTCATGTTGTTTAAATGAGCCTTTCTACTTGGTACCTCGACCGTACTACTAGATTGACAAATAGGGCTTATCGTTTTAATGTTGAATTAGTCAAATGGAATCGTAATTTATTTTCTAATAGTTTCTTTTCTCTTCTTTCTAGGCTGTGAAACACTATTCTTGTTACTTCCTTCTGTGTAAGCTACAATCTTCCTTTTTATTTCAATTCAATTTCAAATGCCATCTGCTGTCTTCTTTTACCCTGTTCTTTTATTTTTTTTTCTTCTCACATATGTCTTCTCATTCTCTTTCACTCCCAAGAAGCGGTTGCATCTTAGTGACATTATTGCCTTGCATGGTTTGAAATGACTCAAAAAAATCTCCTTGCAATTATATGTTTTTTAAGCTTTAAAATTACTTTATGCAACTTTTTGCCTTTGAGCATTGGGCTTAGAGCCACATCAATTTGAAACCCAGGTTCCCGTACGATCGCAGAATTTAAACAATATCAAGCTTTGTCAGTAACTAGATTGGTCAGTGCTTGGAAATACACGTGAGTGTACGCATGGATGTGCGGATGGTGCAATGAATAATGACTCGGAATTTTAAATCAGAGAGCCGTGTTCCAATTCCTGGTGGGTTCGTTATATTCACTTACGCGCAAATACTCTTGGAAAAGATATGAATCTGCCCCTTTTTACCAAGTTATGTGTTAATTATTAAGTGTCGTATCATTAAATCATTATTATATAAAAACAATCTTCCAATAGAAAAATATTTTCTGTCTTTACATAACATCCAAAAGTTTGATAAGGCGCAGAAAACGAATCAATTATTCAGGCAATGTGTATAGACAAATAAATACTATAATTCTTGCCGGAGTCTATCCTTCAAATCTGTAAATCAACCATTCTCCCTTGCATGGAATATTGCTGTCATATATGGTCTGAAGCCCCTGCTGTTCGTCCTTGACTAAATCCAGAGACGGATATGCAATGTTGCTGGCTCTGATCTGACATCTCGTTTACAGTTGCTTCTACACAGACGTATCGTCGCCTCCGTCTGTCTTTTATAAAAATACTTTCACGGCAACTACTCCGACGAACTATTTTCGTTAGTTCCAAAACTTTATGAATTTAAACGCGCCACTAAGGTCGGCATGTCAGTCCCTCCATTTCGGTTAAATGTAGCCGTCTCATTTACTCCAATAGCTGCATGTCTTGCACTTCCCGTCTGTGCAACTCCCTTCCTCTTACTTGCTTCCCTGATAGCTACTGAAATGCAATATCGTCAGGTGCTTTGATCTATTCCCCGTCCTTCTCGTCATCCTTTCCTCTTTCACGCCTCTTTACTCTTGTTCGCATTCTCTGTAACCCCTTGCGTGCCAGTGGAACCCCCGCCTTGCTTGGGGAGAAAAGTTTTTTTTTTTTTAAATTCTTTACTTTCAGGCAAAAATATTAGAAGATATTTTTCAAAAATCAGTCTAAACTTTCTCTTTACAATTGCGTACACTACTGAGTGTTACAAACGAAAATATACATAATTTCAAATCACACATCATGAACTCGGAATCTTTCTACAATCCAGAACTTCTTGAGGAGGGAATTGCTCAAAATGCACCGGTGTTCGTTAGAAGTGATCGATTAGATAATTTGCATAATTGTATCGTTACATCCAGACCAGCAATGGCCGAACACTTTATAAAAAAATATCAACTGTGCGCATCGTCCTACAGCAAAAAAACGTTCTGGATCATGTGAAAAACCGAAAAACTATATTTATTAAGTATAGACACACCTCTTTCTGTAAACAGAAGGAACTCATTGCTAGAATTCAATGGATTCATTATTGGTGGCCACAATCTTAACAAAATAATTTATGCAGATGACACTGTTTTGATAGGAGACACGAAAAGAAAGCTACACCCCCAATACAGAAGGTAGCGAGGGAAGGCGAGAAGAAAGGACTAAGTATAATCTTCAAAAGACAGAATCCATCGTTATCAGCCATAAACATTTTAAGCATAAAATGCAAATTACAAGTCGGTGATACTTAAATGAAACAAGTACAAAAATTTAACTATTTGAAAATTGTTCTAACAGGAGACGGAATGAACGACACTGAGACTCAAAGACGTAATATGATGACCAAATATGAATTCCAAAAGCTAAGTAGAGTATTAAGAAAAAGAAAAATTTACTTTGAAACAAAAGGGTACTTAACTGTTACATGATCTCTGTCCTCCTGTATGGTACCGAATGCTGTACAATCTCCTCAAAGATAAAGAAGAGATTTGAAGCAACAGAAATGCGGTTCTACAGAAAGATGCTGAGAGTATCATGAACTGATCTTGTGAAGATCAGCTGGGTTTTAGAGAAAATGGGAATAAAAAATGCCCTAATATTTATTGTTATTATTGTGTATGTGCGGCTGGTGTAACGTATGTCGGCTGGAAATGAGAAATTGAAGTGCCGTGTTCAACATCGAGTTATGTTCTTTACATTCACATACGGGAAAATAATCTTGGAAATCATATGAATACATATCGTCACATTGGTATGGACTAAATAGTAGAATTTCTATCTGGAAAATGCATTGTTATTATAAACTACTGTTATTGAAATATTAACTCACAAAAAACATTATTCTTTCAATTCAAAATATGTTTAAGTATTAAATATCACATAAAAGGTTGACAAGCCGTAAAAAAATTATTTAATCTTGTTTTTATTATCAGAATGTTTCAGCCATTGTATCGTGAAGTGAGAGCTGATCTTAATAAACTTCCGGAATTTTCGATTTGAAATCTTTATTTAATCTCTTGGAGTAATTTTTTCTCATTCGACTGATTATATCTAACGATATCACGTCTAATAAACTCAAAGACCTTCGAGATTATCACGCCAAAAGAGATCCATTTACACCTTTGCAACAGGTCGCAATCAGTCAACTCAAATATGCCAGCTTGTTTACGTAAATATAGTCAAAGTGACATTTTTTCCTAAAGAAATAAACGAAGTTGCTCGAGATGAAAATGCTCAACGATCGGCAGAGTAACTTCTCGAAATAGTTAGTCATCTTATTATGTACACTTTCAGCAGTGTATGATATTTAATAACATTTTTTAACATCCGTTGCTATAGACGTTTCAGATAGCAAAACCTATATGCACAAAAATTCAACTGACACAGACAAACTTTGTTCTAAATCAAACGCTTTATTTACATTTTTCAGACTATTGTCCTCATCTCTGTCGCCATCTTTATTACAAAGTTTCGGTCGTTGTACACTCCGGCCTTCTTCAGGTGGTTGGAATGTCGAACTGAACCCTTTATTTCGCTCACTGGGGTAGACTGTTCTAGTTCTAGGTATTGAACTCACACTCTTTGGGTCCTGTCACTGGAACTAGCCAACGCCTTTATCCACTGTGCCATGTGTCCTTGCGACAAAGATGAGGACAATAGTCCGAATAATGTAAATAATGTACATAATATCTCATCTCAGAAATATAGAAAAATCAATCGCTGTTTTAAATTTAACTACATTTATTCAGAGTCGATTTACTCAATTAATGCTGATTATAACTAATGATAAACATAGTTAAAACCATATTAAAGACACCAGAAAAAAAACATACAAATATCTATCATTGTAGGTAGAAAGAGCGATCGATATTTAAAAATTAAGAAATTTTAAGCTGTCAGCTACAAATGGAATTATACAAACCAAAAATCCTTTCTAATACATGCACACACACAAAAAATATTTTTACTACTTACCAGTTGTTGTTTGTGTATGAATCTAAGCCGATCACAGCAAATATATATGCAAAGAATGGGTCACTTTCAAAAGGGATATACACCCGTTTATTTCGGTATTGCTTATCTTTAGGACGGGGCCACTATGTATAGATATCCCTGCTAATTGATTGTATGTAATATGTTTTTGTTTATCGCTATATGAATAGGAATGAATGTATATTGGTGTTTACTGAATAGTATATAATTTTGAGTGTTGAGTGTTTGATATGTAATCTCTGTCATGTCATTAAATAAAAACATAATAAAACGAAAATTGTGCTTGCATCGATACACATATATACACAACTTTTAAAAATGTTTAAGCACAAACTGCCACGTGCCTTTCTATGTATATAATACATAAGAATAAATGTGTCACAGTAAAATAAAAACCTTTTTTTTTTTTACAGGCACAGGAAAAGAGAAGCCTGGAATTCGCCAACGACGATCCAGACAGGCATACACACATACAGGCACACACGCAGACAGACAGATATGCGTGTGTATCTGTGTGTAAGTATGTATGTATAGGCAAACACAAATCAATTGGTTATATAACTAAAGGAAGCAATGTAGCGCAAATATACAAAGAAAGAAAAAGAAAGAAAGAAAAGAAAATAGAGAAAGAAATGAGAGAAAGAAAGAACAAGAAAGAAAGAAAAGATAAGAAAAGAAAACGAAAGAAAGAAAAGAAAAGAAAACGAGAGAAATAAATAAATAAAGAAAGAAAGAAAAGAAAAGAAAGAAAAGAAAATAGAGAAATAAATAAAGAAAGAAAACAAAATGAGAGAAAGAAAAAGAAATAAAAAAAAGATAAGAAAACAAAAGAAAGAAAAGAAAAGAAAAGAAAAGAAAACGAGAGAAATAAAGAAAGAAAAAGAAAGAAAGAAAAAAGAAAAAAGAAAGAAAAGAAAATAGAAAAATAAATAAATAAAGAAAACAAAATGAGAGAAAGAAAGAAAAGAAAAGAATAGAAAACGAGAGAAATAAAGAAAGAAAGAAAGAAAGAAAGAAAGAAAGAAAAGAAAATAGAGAAATAAAGAAAGAAAGAAAACAAAATGAGAGAAAGAAAGAAAAAGAAATAAAGAAAAAAGATAAGAGAAGAAAACAAAAGAAAGAAAGAAAAGAAAAGAAAACGAGAGAAAGAAAGAAAGAAAGAAAGAAAGAAAGAAAGAAAAAGAAAGAAAGAAGGAAAGAAAAAGAAAGAAAAGAAAAGAAAAGAAAAAAGAAAAGAAAATAAAGAAATAAGTAAAGAAAGAAAACAAAATGAGAGAAAGTAAGAAAAGATAAGAAAAGAAAACGAAAGCAAGAAAAGATAAGAAAACGAGAGAAAGAAAGAAAGAAAGAAAGAAAGAAAGAAAGAGAAATACTGAGAAATCCCGTGCTCGCCTGCCAGGTCTAACACGTATGAAAACCTAAGTAAACCAAGAGAAAGAAGTACGGACGTTGTCGGCCTTATATTCCTCAAGTGCTGTTGTCGATTTTTAAAGAAACACCGAATCTTTACAAATTTCTTTTCTTCAACATATTTTTTTTAAGTAACAACAAGTGCATCACGTAAAAACAGCAGGAAGAGAATAAAGACAAAAAGACTCAAAATTCTCACCCTCTCTCATGTTTGATTCTTAACTGCTTATGTTTTATTTCCACTGTAAAATGCCATAATTTATTACATTACTCCGGAATAACAATTAATATTACTATCATTAAACAAGACTTTTGTTTCCAGTGTGTATTAATTCCATCCTGTCATCTACCACTATTAGTACTGTGGCTATAACATTTCTCTTTATAAAATCTACAGCCACAAACCTTCCAGGAACTACTACTACTACTACAAGTGATATTGATAGCCGCTGTATTCAAACTAATCCTTTTTAACAACCATGACTACTAGCGTTTACACTATCGGCACTACCATTACTGCAACTCCTGCTTCTATAGTCTAAATATTTTCACTTCTACTACACTTGAAGGAGGTGGTAGCGGCTGTGTTTCATTCATCGTTTCTTTCTGTTTTAGTATTGTTTTCTTTCAATAAGTCCTTCCTCTCGAAATTTTCACCAATCAATGTTTTAATTAACTGGTCATTTCGAAGATTTCGTCATCCTCTCTCTGTCACTCTCTGTTTCTTTCTCTCTCTTTCACAAACTCTCTACGTCACCACCCCAACCCCAGGTTAACCACCCCCTATCATCGACTTCAGTACGTCCCCCATCACAACCACTAAGCGAACAGTAACATCTTCATTTCTCCCTATCTGCAAGATAACGTACATTGTCCTTTTTTTCGGAGCGATCTCACACTTTTCTATTTAACTTGTGTGTGCCTTCGAACGCACACAAAACATACGGCAAAGGAGCCGACCAGTTGCTGAAATAAGTGACTTATTACTTCTTCTAAAAAAAAAGAAAAAAAAAGAGAAATCTAAAAAAGAAGAAAAAGAAAATAAGACGCCTGCTTTTTTTGTCAGTTGTTTTTGTTTGTGTTTGTGAATAGTTTATTTTTCTTTATTTTTAAACACAAGAAAACACTAAAGGTTTTCTATTCAATGTCCATCGTTATGTTGTTACAGAACAGACATGACCAGGCATATCAACGTGTAAACCGTTGAAATTTTACTATTTATTATAAAAGAAGCAAAAAAATACGATAACAGCAGCAGATTTTTTTTTTACTTTACAATTCGTCTTTATTATTTTTGTTGTTGTTGTTGAGTGTGCATTTTCTTATGAGTTAATGCTGAAAGAAAACTACAAAAACCGGAGTGTTGTTTTTCGCTGTGTAAAGCCGATCTAGGTTTCTCTAGACATTACACGGGATAGCAAAATCTGCAAAAAAAATAATAAATAACTGAAAGGAGTCAAAAAAGAAAAAAAGAAATATATATATATATATGCATTGAAAAAAAAAACAAAAACACCACGAAAAAATATAGAAAAAACTTACATATTGTTATAATTCTCCTAAGAAAAATACAAAGTGAAAACAAAACAAAAACAAAAAAAAATCATTTTTCCATAGTTCATAAATAATATATCTATATGCCAGGATAAATCATAAACGTACACTTTTTTCCCACAAAAAAGCACCCATATTTCGGGCATATGCACTCACACGCCTGTATGTAACATCCATATACACAAATCTCGTTTAAACTCTTGCTTAAAACTATCGCCTTTACACCCACTCAAACGCACATATACATATACACACATACAGACGGAGGCCTATATTTTACATACGTAATCGCACATGCGTCTAAACGTATGCGTCTATACTGACACACGCAAATATAAAACTAAAAGCATCTAAGACCAACAGATCAACTGTGTCTCACGTCAAAGTGAGGCAGAACGGGAACTACTCAACAGACCTCCCCCTCCTCTTCCTTTATTTAAACTCACTATAACATCATCTGAACGACAGACACGCACACATACACTTCACACTGAAGCAATCAAGCCCGTCTCTCGATTTGTCTATCAATCCATCCAAATTCACTCATCTATCTCTCAATATATAACGCACACATCGTCCGCACGTACACCTTTTACCAACATATACACGTACAAGTGCTGTGATGGCTATACGCGTTATGGTTGTATTGCAACTTGTTTTATATGGAGTACTCATCTCCAACTTGGCTTACACCAAAGGTAAGTAAAAATTATATCTACTTAAATAACGCATTCATCTCCCCTCCAAAGAATACATACTTAAAGATACTCACTTATGGCCACATAGAATTCTGAGCGTGCATATGTATTTTCGTAACTTGTCTAAATTTAAGAAGAAAAAATTACTTATTTTTGCTCATTGGTTGATCAATCAATATAGAATCATTTTGAATGTATTCTGAGGTTTAATATGTTATGTACGACATGCTTAAAATTTTATTTAAATGTTGAAGAGAGAACTCAAAATTATATATATATATATATATATATATATATATATGTGTGTGTGTGTGTGTGTGTGTGTGTGTGTGTGTGTGTGTGTGTGTGCGTCTGTGTACATATATTCTGTTTCGCCCAATATCAAAACCCTCGATGATTAATTAAAATTCCTTTCATCAAGTAACAAACCTTCCTATTTTATAATCTATCTTTGCTTGGTTTTATGTACTTTCCAACATTAATATTATAAACACTATTTTGATGATTATAACTTTAGTTTCACTTGCCTTCAACATCAACATTTCATTTAAAGTGTCATATTATCAAATAACTTAGAAAAAAAATCATTTTCCATTCTATATGAAAGAAGAAATATATTATTATAAATTCAGTAAATGGATAGCTATTTACTCCTTGAGAAAAGGGTCATTGTCCCGAACGACAAAAGCAAGATTTTCCCTGGCCTTTATTCATTTTTACATTTGGATAATCCACTACCTATTTTGCTGCTGATTTGTCTACCTACCTATTTATCCTCTTGCCTATCTGTAAATTTCGTATATTATACTCAACTGTCGATGCACGCTAACGTAAACATCTTGATATGCCTTGAACACTTTGTGAAATTTTTTATTTTATCCCATTGTTTATACGCTTTTTTACAATGTACTGTAACAACCTGTTATACATACATACATACATAGGTATAAGAGTACATATATATGTATTTATGTGTGTGCTACCAAATAAATGTTGGAACGTGTGTGGTTTTGAACATCTCCTATATTGTACATATTTGCTATTTACTATTCATTCTTTTTAAACCAATACAGGTGTATGAAAACATCTACGTTTATCTTCAGATATATAAATGCTATTTACTTTTTAGATAAATCAATTTTTAGTTAGCTAGCTAACTCTCTCTCTCTCTCTCTCTCTCTCTCTGAATTACTCTCCTGTTTACACATACACACACACATACACACACACACACACACACACACACATATATATATATATATATATATATATATATATATATATATATATATATATATGTAAAGTCATGATATTGGTAAAACCTACGCTTAATACCCTACAACTCAAAGCCTACCAAACGAATGCACTTAAAGTGACACTATACAAAACGAAAATGAAAAAATATACTGCTCTCTCTCTCTTTCTTTCTGTATATATATATATATATATATATATATATGAGTGTGTGTGTGTGTGTGTGTGTATCGCTCTCTCTTGTGAATTTTATGTACAGGTGCTATATACACAAAGTTAGCAGTGAAATATACCTGATGTCATAAACTGATATATAAAGTCGTTTCTATAATACCCTGTATTTCCAAATCTATCTATCTATCTATCTATCTATCTATCTATCTATCTATCTATCTATCTATCTACACGCGCATATGTACATATACATAAATACGTGTGTATGTATGTGTGTGTGTGTGTGTATCCCCAATATTACACCATTAATCGAAACTATATAGTCGAGTTTTATTCCCAGTGGATACCTCGCGGCCATCTGAATGACAAAGTTAAACATACAAAATAAGTGCGCTTAGTTAACAAACTAGTTTTGCAGAATATTACTACGTATTTATTTCGGTCATCAGAAACTGCTTTAAAAATCGTGGCCTTGAGCCAGACTAAACTAATTTTAGTAAACACCCCCGGGAGAATAACGGGGAGAGTTTTCTCTGGGCAGGTTGGACATCTCGGTTTTCTTTACGCTCATATTCGCCGCCGTCTGTCGTGCGTAATATTCGCTGAGACCAGGACGACTCAGAGTGTGATAATTGCTAGCGAAGTAGACGGAAAGCTTGATCAGGACAAATAAGTAGTGAAGACAATCCTCACTGGGTGTCCCATACCGATGGCCTTTTGTCAAACTAAACTATGCTTAGGAAATTACAGTATTCGCTAATAATGCCGAAGAGAATCGTTAATGCTGAACACTTCATATCAATAGACTTTTACCGTTTCAACGCACACCCATATATATATATATATATATATATATATATATATATATGTGTGTGTGTGTGTGTGTGTGTGTGTGTGTGTGTGTGTAGTAAAGGTAATAAATCCGTTGGTATCCTTGAAATATAAAATGTTGTTAAACCTGATCCACAAAAAGAGCCAATATATTTATAATTACAGAGCAAAAATTAATACACAATGACAACCAAAGTCACCTCATATATATATATATGAATATATATGTGTGTGTGTGCAGATGTGTTTGTGAAAATATATATATATATATATATATATGTGTGTGTGTGTATTATATATATATATATATATATATATATATATATATACACACACACATGTATATATATTTCGATATTTAGTGGGAGAGAAGAGGGGATATTTATTATACTTTTCTCTCAAATCTTTCTTTATTTTTTTACATCTCTTTACTTCCCCCCCCCGTCTTCCTTTTTTAAAGTCATTTTTGACTTATAATTTTTCCATATTTTCACACTTCCTTGTTTTCTTTCTGATCCTTTCAATCCCGCCTTTCATATTTATTCCCTTTCTTCTTCCTCATGATCCAGAAAAAACGCCAATATAGAAAGATGCGTCAATTTTATAATAATAATAATAATAATAATAATAATAATAATAATAATAATAATAATAATGACAAATGACATTCGAGATTCTAGCTTTTTGCTAAACTTGAATACACACCACCCCGACACATTGAGATACATGTATCTACCGCGGCAAGAAGAATATATTCATTAAGCTTAGTCTGGCCTGAGACTAAATGGAATAAAATTACGGACAGAATAATATTGTTATACCAGCTGGGAAAGTTTTCTATATGTCTTGAAAATCAGCATTTCGCAGACATGATGTTTATTGTAAATCACTGGAGTTAGTCGAAAATCCACAGTTCGAACACGGATAAAACAAACAAAAAAAAATTCATTATATTTACCGCGCTGAGCTTCGTATGGCGCGAGAATATGTGTTAAACATCCAGTGTGGATTGAAGTTAGCAATATTAAAGAATATATATTTCTTGATCAAACTGAGAAATGTTCAGCACCTACTTTTAATATGTTCGGCTTTATTCGAAATCGTAATACCTCAGCTAGACATATTAAAATATGCTTAAGTTTGTCTAGTATATGGACATTATCCAGGTACACAATATGTGCCGAATTAGAACATCTTGCAGACGATGGGCCTAATGCAGGCATCCTCCTTCCTATTGCACTTTTTCCTTCTCCTTCGTTTATTTAATATCTTCTTTCTTCCACGCCATTCCTTTCTTCTTTCAATATCTTCTTTTAATTTCTTCTTTTCTTCTTCTTCTTTTTTCTTCTTCTTTTTCTTCTTTTTCTTTTTTTCTTTTTCATTTTTTCTTCTTCTTCTTCTTTTTATTTTTCTTCTTCTTCTTACTATCTTGTCAGTTATCGCTGAAAAGTCAGCTAATATAAGACCCAATTCCACCCCGCCACTACATCGCCTTCCCTTTATGTTTTCTAACATAAAACTTATCGAAAGCATTTCATTTCTTCTTCTGAAATTATTAATAAAATTACTATAACCCCAACAAAATGTTATTCTTTTTTTTTTACTCTATTTCGCCATTTGACTTTTGACAGCAGTACCGACAGGTCGTTTATTTCAAATTGAATATATTATTTACACACAATTCTAAACCCTTGCATAAGCCTATTGACTTGATATGGTAGTATGTTATACACACGTGCTTAGTTCATATTTTGTATTCAGCTGTATCGAAGAAAGATTAGTCTAGATCTTTTTTGGTGTAAGTTTTTTTTAGGTGTATGAAACCATGTGGAGATCGAACTCACTATCGACTTTCTGAATAGTTAAACATCACTCTTTAGCAGTGGTCCTGCATGGATAGATTATCAGGCAGGTTATTTGTACTCGAGGTTGACGTAGGTTATACAAGTGCATTGATGTGCTGGCAACATCCTTCCCAGAAGGTAGGGAATTAAAGATTTAGATGGGTTCGAAATGCTTCCATAGAAGCTTCGATTTAGAGCAAATATGTACAAATTAACGTGGCGTCTTAACGAGATGAGCCATAATACCATTGCATCTACATCGTCCTATAGGGAAAATTTATATCTACCAATCTATCTTTCTCTCTTTCTCTCCTCTCTCTCTCTCTCTCCCTCTCTCTTTCTCTCTCTCTCTATATATATATATATATATATATATATATATATATATATATATATATATATATATATATATATATATATATATATATATATATATATATATATATATAAAACCATATATATACACACACACACACACACACACACGGTGGAGTAATGGAAAGTGGCTTGGATTGAGAAATTGAGAGCGGAGTTCGAATTTCAGTCGAGTTTGTTAGATGCACATACCCTTGGGAAAGAAATGAATCTGTCTCTTCTTCAAACATGGCATGAAAGACTGGCTGGCAAAAAAATTGTATTTAAAACCTGAAAGGCCTGATTTGGTGACCGTGTGACATATTATGTGCGACAGTTCTCTGTATTCGGGTCTTCCAAAAAGTGTGTGTGATTCTACACAAGCTTGTAGCACAATAATCAAATCATATGTGTGTTTGGTTTGATATATGAAGATTAGAAATGTTATGGTTAATTACCTATTATGTAAATACTATAATTCGACAGATGGACAGAAACAAAGAAAGACAGATGAAAAGAGAGAGAGACATTGGTTTATTTTATATGTTCAATGCTCGTTGGATTACGAGATGTCAATTTTTTGATTGGGTCATATTTTGAGGATCGGACGGTATCTTTAAGAAGAGTAACTCTCAACCTGCCAAGCCTTATTAAACATTGGCCTACGTCGAGGCACCCAGATTGCTATAGTTTTATATCAATATTCATAATCAAACCCCAAAATGGCTTAGCACAGGCATTCAGTTCAACGTCTTCATCTATGTGCCGTGTCCCTTCAGGACGTTGATGAACATGTATCTCCACAGCATCTTCTTCTTTTTGTTCTTCAACTACAGTCCTCAAATAAATTATTTTGATAATCTATGTTGAATAATAGTTATTTCAATAATATATAAAGATCTTATGCATGTATATATATATATATGTATATATATATATATATATATATATATATATGCGTGTTTGTGTGCATGTTTGTGTGCATGTTTGTGTGCGTATGTGCATATGTTTATATATATATATATATATATATGTGTGTGTGTATATATATACATACATATACGTATACACACACACACACACACACACACACATATATATATATATATATATATATATATATATATATATATATATATATATATATATATATATATATATATATAGATAGATAGAGAGATGTAATCGTCCAGTATGGTTTAAATTAAACAATTTCTTTTGCCTTTGGTTTCCATTTTTTTTTTTTCATTTTTTTTTATTCGTTATTTTATTGTTTTTTTTTCTTTTGTTTTGAAATCGGGGAGTCTTCCTTCTAAGTTGGATGAAGTTTCGACACTATTTCATTTTGCAATAAATATTAAGACAGACGCATTCTTTTTCAAATGCCTTTTCTTATTAACTACACAAATAGAAAACGAAATCACCTGTTGTCACATATATTTTTATTAACATATTGTTACATTAGAAATTTAATGAATTTTGTGTATAAAGACATCTTAACATTTGCAGGATGTCTTTTTCGTTGTGTTTCGTGTTTTTGAGACATAATCGCTCTCTCCCTCCCCACTCTCTCGCCCTCTCTTTCCCTCTTTCTTCCATTTTTCATTTACTTTGTCTTTTTTCCAGCCAATGAAGATAATTTAAACTAGTCTTGAAATGAGTAAAAGAATTCTATATGACATATAAATACATACAACGTGCTTTGCCGCAAAGTAAGGGAAGGCGGACTAATCTCGTAAACTATTACTGTAGCAGTGAGTTCAAGCCTCACTGTGGACAGATGAATTGCAGCCTATACACAGAAAATACATACAATTATATGTAAATATCTAGCTAACTAGAAATTACCGAGAGATAGATAGATAGATAGATAGATAGATAGATAGATAAATAGGTAAACGGACTGACAGACAAAAGAAAATGAGATAGATAGAAAAAGAAACCGAGATAGATAGATAGATAGATAGATAGATAGATAGATAGATAGACAGACAGACAGACAGACAGACAGACAGACAAAAGTAACAGAGTGAGAAAAAAAGAAAGAGATAGATAGCAAGAAAGAACATAGATAGATAGATAGATAGATAGATAGATAGATAGATAGATAGATAGATAGATAGATAGATAGATAGACAGGCAGACAAAAGTAACAGAGATAGAAAAATAAAAAGAGATAGCAAGAAAGAACATAGATAGATAGATGTACAGGCAGATAAAAGAAACAGAGATAGATAGATAGATAGATAGATAGATAGATAGATAGATAGATAGATTAAAAAAGACAGCAGTTTATATGCGTTTCTATTTGTAATGTAGCCGCGGCCCCAACCTCAGCGATTCGCACAACTAATCGGAATTGTTAACCCACAGGTGTCTCTCTTTTTCTGCCTGTGTCGCTGACGTGCAAGTGCAAACGTGTCTTGGTCGTCTCGTCGTTTTGCTTCTTCATTCCTTCCTTTCTTCTTTCTAGCCGTCCAACTAAAATCGTTGGCTTGTACAGAAAGCAAATCTTACGAGGTTTAAGACTGACAAATATCTACTTTAGATTCTAGTGTCTGTCACAGGTTATCTACTAAAAGAAAATCGCTCTTTCTTTTCTCGAAATGTTTTTATATTGCAAGAGTATCTTACTTTTTTCAGCACTGAAAAAAAAAACGTTTTTATTTTTTTTGTTTTGTTTTTTTTTGTTCCATCGTTTGTTACAGTGTCCAGTCTTCATACTTGTAAAACGAAGTAATTTGTCAAAACAGCTGTAGATTTGCGTAGAAAGACTCGAATTGAAACACTAAACCAAAAAAAAAGTGTCTGCGAAAATGGTATATCTCTAATATACTGAGATTAATTATTAATGTACGTTAACAATTTCGTTATCTGCGTTTCACCATTGAATATGATAAATTCCTGACAGGTTTGCTGATGCGAACACAGGAAAAAAGCGGCTTCAATCACGAAGCATTTCCCTAAATATTACCGCGAAAAAATTACAGAAATAATCAGTTTACAGTTTGGTGAAATATTATGGAATCAAACTTTAGAATGATGGACATTTTCCTCTAGAGATATTAATATTTCCTACATATACCTTTGAAAAAAAAAAGTGATATGTGACACTGTGTTCTGAAGATCAAGTGACAACAAGTTTACTTAAAACACCAGCTCTCTCCCGCCACTTTTGTAATACTATTGTTCGAGAGATTTGAATTAATCTATGTATCTTCCGATATTTAAATATCTTCCTGAAAGCTTTCAGGTCTGTTCCAAGTACTCTTATAATAATAAGTACAACTTCTGTTGTTATATTTTATTATTTACTCATTTCGTTAACAAAGTTTACATTATTTTACAGCTTGTCATAATTTCTATGACATAAGTTCTCCAAGAAAATTGAAATGAACTATCTGACAGATTTTTCTTTACAAAGACTAAATATAGTCAGATATATTTCTTGTTACTTTTAAACGCTAGAATTCATCGACTATTATTGCAGGAGAAACGGCGATATGAAATCTAGATTCATCACCATTGTTTTTTCTTAGTATCTGTCCTATTTAAACGATGCAATGATTTGCCTTTTACATATTGTTGTTCTAGCATTTAATACGCCGTTACAGTTTTAGTATTCCATAGTATCGGAAAGGTCATGAGTGAATTTTCTTTGAGTATCAAGAACTTCGTTTAAGACGTTTTTCGTTTTTGTTGCTTTTTTTGTTGTTGTTGCTTGATTTTGTTTGTTTTTGTTTTCCGAATCGGAAACTCTCTGAAGAATATACGAATAAAGGATTTCTAATTTAAAAAAGACGAATTGGTCAAGAAATACATCTTTTCTTGTTTGAATCTTTCTGAAATTAGTTTCTTCGGGATTTTTTGATTTGAAGTTCTCGATCATGTTTAGGGAAATGGAAGAAAAACGCTGTACATTCTTCAAGAAAATAACATTTTCAAAATAAACTGGAAAACATGTTGGAAAGAAAGAAAGAAAGAAAGAAAGAAAGAAAAAAGAAAGAAAGATAAATAACTGAAAAGAAAGAAAGATAAATGACTGAAAAGAAAGAAAGAAAGAAAGAAAGAAAGAAAGAAAGATAAATGACTGAAAAGAAAGAAAGAAAGAAATATAAATGACTGGAAAGAAAGAAAGAAATATAAATGACTGAAAAGAAAGAAAAAACAGAAAGATAAATGAATAAAAAGAAAGAAAGATAGATAGAAAAGAAAAAAAGAAAGAATTGAAAAGAAAGAAAGAAAGAAAGAAAGAAAAACTTGGGACAAATAAAGAAGGTGACTATAAAAAGAGAGAAACATTGCAATATCTCTAACTTTGCTCAGGTTCTGTGTTTGCGTACCGTCTTATTTCTAAAAAGGATTTATTATTATTGCTTGTTTATTATCTTATTAGAGAGATTTATCTTTCTATATATTAATTATCATTATTTTTAATTACTCATTTGAATTATCACCAACTTGTAATTTGTGGCCTACACTTAAGTATAAGTGACAGCAAGCCTCCTCAATGCTCTTGTAGTCTCTTCATTATTTAGCTGTTTTCAATAATGCTATCATCTGGATGGTACCAACACATATCCTCATTTAGAATTCCCCCACCCTTTCTTCCACGCTCTTACATATCGTGTCCAGCGCTCCAACCACGATTGTCGGCTGTCTCTTATATGTTCCACAGCTATCTTTTGAATTTCTTTCATATCTTCTCTATGATCTGCCAGAACAGCGAATCAGCTATCTGGAATGTTTTCCTGGTTATTAATATCAAATCCAGTTTCTCTCTAGTCATGGTCTATCCGTTTAAATCCAACTGTCCCAGAGGGTTTCATCTGTTTTATTCTCTAGCCTAAGGCTATATTAAACGTATCTTCAATATGTAGACGCTTGCATGGTTTCTTGTGGATGAATTTTCTCAACATTTCAATCCTATGCTTATATTCTTTCTGAAGCAATTTACTTACCATGTTGTTGACTTTCATCATATGTTTCAGTTTTGCCCTTTTACTACCCCTCTTGGCTTTTATAATGTTTTCGTTGATGGCGTTGATTTCGGTCTCTGTTAAGAACAACTCGGTTTTTCTCTTATGATTTCCTCTACACAGCCATGTCCATAATTTTTAATAGTAACATTGGCAGTCATATTCGTTCTCTTGAATCCGCTATGTAACACTATCAACTTGAAAAGTTTCCTCATTTAGCATGCAAAACGAAACATCGAGTCATTCTTTTTGAACGCTTTACTTTTACAAGCCTCAAAAAATATTTCGATTCTTACTTGGCTCTTCAAACGTGGCCCTTTTCCAGGCTAAGCTTCGATTAAGCTAACAAGGCGCTTTAAAATCCTACCAAGATTCGAAAGCTGAACGCTAGAGTCTGAGAAACATACGCAATTCACCTATAAAACAACCAAACAGTTATTAGCGTCTTCCGTGGCGTCGAAAGTTATGGATTTGCGTAGCTTTGTTTAATTTAATGTCTGTGAATTTCCATGAAAGATAATGGTGTGGTATCTCACTGCCTTCTCCACAGATTTTAATTCAAAGAATGTCTCCTAGATTGGTTGGCACAAGCACACGAGATCATATAATTGTGGAGAGAAAAATGAGTTCTATTTTTCTGACTAAATGCGTGTATAACTATATACATCCTTATATATAGTTATATGTACGCTCTGTGTCGAAAAAATTGAACAATGGATAAGCTGAATCCATTTCTATAAATAACTATTTAAATTAAAGTTTTGAAAATTATTATTCTCCCAAATGAAAACGCAATAAATAGTATCTCCTATTAGGCATCTAATTAAAAAAATGTTTAACTTTTTAATTTGTGCGTTTCTTTATGGAAATACGTTTCATATCCAGTCATGGCTTGAGCGATCATAGCTCTTCACAACGCCTATCCCTTTCGCTGTAAGCAAATTTGTCTTTTTTATATCCCTCCTATTCTCTGTCTTGACATCCATTTACACACGCATGTTAGATAGCCTACTGGACGTTTCCTCCGTCCCTCTTGACTTCAATGTTCTGTGAGTCACCAATTTGTCAACCGTTCTTTCCTCGTCGTTCCTCCCCCACCGAATACAATATTTCTTTCTGATTCTAAGTAGAAATGTCTATTTGGTTCCCATTTTCCATAAATGTTTCTCATGGCTCACAAGTTTTGTCGATGTTATTTTCAGCTTCTTTCTCTAGAAACATTTTTGTATTTCCTCAAGTTTCCTCTTCATCTGTGCGGACATTTTTCAGCATTCACACTCATATAGTAGACTATATATGAGGGGAATCATTACCATCCAATAGTTACCCATTCTGCAATACCTTTACCCAACCTCGTTTGGATTTCTAGTAGATGTGTCCCTCTTACCTCCCCTTCCCTCAGTATGTCATGTTATGTCCCAGATATTTAAACAGTCTCTTTTTTATTTAAGCACGCATTTAGTTGCATGTTTTTAAAACTTCCCAGTTGCTCACATGTTTCGTCCAAGGTATTCTTAGTATATATATGAAGAACGCTTCGAGTCTCATCATCATCTGTAAGAAAAAAAAAACTCAGCATTTACAGTCATATAGGAGGATAGATATAAAATAGCAGTTCAGTCTGTTTTCTTTGTTTCTAACCTATTTTATTTTCTATTTCTTCATATATCATTTAGTTTCTGGATGGATGTATCTTTCAGAGGTCCAGACCTCTTTTGGAACTCTATGGCTCAATTTCTGTCTTCTGTTAATACAATATATAAATATTTATGTTAATGTACTTGCTTCATTATGTTGTATTCTATGAGTAGTTCACTTATTCGGTTGTCTCCCTTGCCGATGAATTCGGAAATATAAGTTTTGTCAACTTTTAAAAGCCTGCCTTTTTATGTTTATATATTAAATACTAAACTATTTTTTAAATCCATAACTATTTCGCTTTGTTTATTTTGTTTAGCAGTAATATCAAGACGAATGAACTGAATTCAACACAAATATATTAACTATATTCGTCTTGTTTTTAGTCTTCGAGTAGGTGTTTCTGTCTCCAGGTGATACTAGTTTTCATATTTGCTGACTCAAAACAAGAAATTTGGATTGAACTCGCTATTTATAAAAAAATAATTGCTAACGATTTCCTCACGCCGAGGCCACTCTCACCACAACTTTTAAGGGTTTTGGAGAGATACTGAAATGCAAATGCATCAAAATTCTTATTGCAAAACTATAAATAATGCCTAGACATCCGTCAGTTTCGGGAGCTGATTCCTATTGCAGATACATTTGTGTTTCGTCTACACCCACAGCGCCAAAATGAGGGTTATATACCTCAATTTTATTTTTTTAAGCATATCACCCTAAGCAAGGCTTGGGTGCCACTAGCACTCAAGGGGTCACAGAAAGTGAGATCAGGATTAAAGAGGATGTTTGAGGAAAGAATATACTGTAGAACTGGAATAGGATCAAGGCATCAGAAGATGTCAATTGACATTACATTTGAATATTTGACGATTATAGCTATCAGAGATGCAAGTAGGAGGAAGGGAGTTTCACTGTCGCGAAGTGTGAAAGAATAAATTGTTGATGTAGAAGAGACGGCTATATTTAAACGTTTCGAGAGTGAAAGGGTGGGACCGAGATGCCAACCTAGTAGCACGCTTAGATTTATGTCGTTTTCGAACCAGAGAAAGTAGCGCGTCAGAGCAGTTGCCATGAATATACTTGTAGAAAAGACATAAGGAATCCACGTGGGATGTGGGAGAGTGATTGTAGACTAAATGTCATGTTATAGGCCCCTATTACATTGCATATCCATCTCTGGATTTTGTCGAGAAATGAACACGGGGGTTGTAGGTAGGCTTTCCTACCGCCCGGTCAACACTCCTCCCCCTTCTCTTGGACATGAGTAGAGGCTTACGCCTTGTTTCTTGTTTAGGAAGGGGTTTCCGGTACTCTCTCTCTCTCTCTCACTGGCCTCTGTATCTCCAGTTGCCTTGATCTATCCACTACCCTTCTCCCTCATCCTTTCTTCTATCACTACTATTTGATCTTGCTCCAATTTTCTGTAACCCCTTGCGTCCTAGTGGCTTTCCGCCTTGCTTGGCGTGAACGCTTATATATATATATATATATATATATATATATATATATATATATATATATATATATATATATATATATATGACAGTAATATTCAATGCAAGGACGAATGGTTGATTTGTAGATTTGAAGGAAGTACTCAGGCCAGAAAAAAAAACATTCTGGATCGACACAGAGGACCCGCTTTCCTTGCGGCAGATGAAGCTATTTATTCAGTCTTGTTGTTCCACCTCAGGTCATTGGGAAGCGTGAGACCAAGCAGGAAGCTAAGTCAAACCTAGTCGCATTATCCGGGAGAGAGTGCATAATCTGGCGGCATCAATAATTTACAAGTCTAGTACGCTCAGATCGTCGTTCAGGCTGACTGATAACCTGCTAACATCATCGGCTTCCGAATTGTTTTGTCTGCCCAGTTTCATTATCAAGGCTTCGGTCAATTTGTTCTATGATTTCTAGGCTCTTGCCAGCACTAGATATAACCGGCGGCAAGGCCTTATTAAATATTGGTCAATAATGAGTCTCCAAATCAAGTAAATAACATTAAACTGTGGATTATACATCAATTATATTAAGTAAAACGTAGTTACAGGTTTCAGAATAATTATTTTTAATCATTTCATTCCAGGCAAGGAGATAATGCGAATAGAAGGTAAGGCTTTAGAAAGAGTGAAAGAGAATTAGAAAATGTCAATGTGAAGAAGTGATGGAAAGGACAATATAAGAACAGGATTCAGAAAGACAGAATATGGTGATTAACGTTTCATTTACATGTTTAAGATTGTAGTTGTCAGGGAAGCAAGAAACCGAAAGGGAAAGAAACTATTAGAATATAAGAGCCGGTTGCATGTAGTTAGTTCAGTAGTGAAACAGTGAGACCGAGTTACCAGTCTAGTAGAGTGTTGCTTGCAGTCAATTCACTAAGGAGAAAAGCTCATTAAAACAGTTTCAATGAAAATATTCATAGAAAAGACAGAGGGAATCTACCCCACGTCGGTGTAAAATTGACTGATACCAGGTCAGAATCTATGAAATTACAGACCCTTTTGGGATTTTGTCAAGAATCTCGAAATATATAGTTTCATTCTTATCATAATGACTAATTTCACAATGGCTTTTAATTTTATTATATTTTTAATCGTTTCCCAAAATTTATAGAATAAATATTCTAAACTTAATGGGACAATTAATTGTATAAGCCGCTTCT